CATGCTTCTCTAGAACTTTCTATATACTACTACTACACTTTTAGACTATTCTAAGAAGTATCAATCTTCTAGAAGGATCTAGCTAGAGAACTCCACACTCCTTGATAATGTTTTAGAGGCTTCCATACACATCCACACAATTCCAAAGATTCCACACTTCTCTAGAAAACTTCACAATGTTCTAGAATATTCTACACTCTTCCATGCGCTTCTATATAATTTCACGTCTCTCTTAAAAGCTTCATAATATTCTAGAACATTCAATATGTTTCTACACACATCTAGAGAATTCTACACATGTCCGCAATATTCTAGAATTCCCATGAACTTCTCAATTGAGGGGATCCAACATTAATTTGTGGGTGTCTAAAAAAATGCGAAATTTAAAGTAAAATACCGAGTGTACCCATATGTCTTATTGTTTAAATAGACAAAGTTTAAAATAGAACTAAGTACTCCATGTCTTATTGTTTAAATAGAAGGGTCTTCTATGGTACCTCTTATTTCGAAGTGTACCATGCAGTTGGCTTGAGCACTCATTAAAACACTAACGTGTAAATTTCAAACCACAATTAAATAATTAAATAGCCTGTAATCAAGTTAATAGTTTAAGGTATCTGCATTTGAGTCCTTTTGCAAAATGTCATGATTTTTTTACTAGGGTGGATACATTGGTTTTCAATTCAGTTTTTATCGGCTTCAGTTCGGTTTGATATAACCGGGGTTGGAAGAATTATTACCAAACAAAAGTCATACGGAGTACTATTTTTAAGTTTAGTTTTATTCCGTTCAGTTTGGATTTGTTATTTCTTAATAACATGTGAAAGTTTTATTCAGTTTCTTTTGTTCGATTTGATTTTATTCGATTTTTCTCGATTTTGCTTCGGTTCGGTGTAATAGGGTTTGGAAGAAATAATACCAAGCTCAAACCAAATTGCATATGGTTCGGGTTCCGTTTAGTACGTTTCAATTCAATTAAACCAATTTGATATGCTCACCCTGTTTTTTAGGGTGCATTAGTATCCTTTCTTAGTTATCTAGAGGTACCCACCGACCCTTACTGTAGTCATATGTAGTATTTCATACAATAGTCTGCATGCTGTGATTCTACTTGAAATGATAAATTTCTCTATAAAGTGTGTCTGTGTGTCCCAGAATTAAGGATGACAACGGGGCAAATTTGAGGTGGTGGTTCACTCATCCATCCCACCCCACGTCTAAAAAGTGTCATACATTGCCATCCTTACCCAGAATGTAGCATCTGCCTCAAGTTCATTTCAAATCTTCATGTGAGTCGTTATGTCACTCGTTATTGGGTTTTGATATTCCACCATTCTTTTTACCCAAACCTCAATTACACTTTTTAAAATTTCTTAAATTTTGAACTATGTTAACACTCAAACCCATAATATTCAGAGAAAAGAGGTAAATAAGTCCTCGAACTATTTGCGATTTTGCAATTAGACCCCTGAACCGGAAGACTTGCAAATACACCCTTCAACTCATTGAAAACTAAGCAAACAAATCCTCTTTTACCTGCTCATGCAAGCAAGGAGATGAGAAATTACCGGCACCACCAGGTAAAAAGGATCTGATTGCTTGATTTTCAAGGAGTTGAGGCGTGTATATGCAAATGTTCTGGTTCATGGGCCTGATTGCAAAATCGTAAATAGTTCAAGGGCTTATTTGTCTCTTTTCTCTAATATTCAATAGATGATGTGTGGTGCTAATCAGCGGCGGAGTCAAGGGGGTAGGTTGGTCAGCCGACCAATTTGATAAATTATTGCACCCGTAAATCATGACGTATAAAAGGTTATGACTACTGAAAGTTCAACACTATTTAAACTTGAAATGAGTAAAATTTGATGTGTAATATTGATTATATTTTCAAAATTTAAAAATAACGTCTAGTTAACTCATTACTTACATGAAGTGTGTAATGTATATGACACATGTATCAAATTTATAGCTTTGTCACTCTCATTCAAACTAGTGCAAATTACCCGTATAGTCCAATTTCATGGACTGCATATCATTTATGCCCCTGTTGCTTTCTCTTTTCATTTTTAACTTTTCTATTTTCAATATTAGTTTTTTATTTCACTTGTAATCATCTCCTCCGTTACATACATTTAAACCTCCTCCTTCATCTCCGACTCTCCGACTCCCTTCTCCCTTCTCATCTCGCTAAATACCACAGAATCTGCCGATCTCCGCATATGTTATAATCTGAGCAATTTAATTCCTAGGAGCTATCATTAACATGACATCAGATGGAGCTATCTTCCGAATTGCGATCAGAGCATTGAGTTCATCGGCAACGACACTTACCAGGATCGATCGATCTCTTATGGAATCGATCTTTTGGAACTAAATCAAAGGACCGATAGTTAGAATTCATGTATTTAATCGCACACTCTAGCTAGGTGATTCTGGAACTCATTGGTGGCGGAGGCAGTTTGTCGGTAATCTTAGGGGCTGGAATCCTTTGGCGTTGTCTTCTGTAACTAAGACTCGAAGGAGTGCAGCAGTAAAAGGCATGCGTGTAGTTTATAAATCATTGTGTCTGATTATCAATCTAGCTTATAAACCGCTGGAATTTTGAAAAAACTCCGGATTCTTTGGACAATAGGACAAACTAGGTAGTAATTGTCGATTGAATATCGCTTGTTTTAATTTCTCCCAAAGTTTAGTTGTGTATCTGAATTAACTTAACTGATATTAGGGTTCTTTTGGAGCTAGCATTCTTGGTGAGGCTCTACTCAACCTTGCTGAACATGCTGATGCTTCAAAGCTTTCCATAGTTGCATTAAATCTTCATAGATGTGATACAGGAGCTATTTTACGGGTAAGTAATTGTGATTCTCCAGAATATTTCTTATTTTAAGAAAAAAAACAAAAAAACATTTACTTGTAGGGCTTATGTATCTTGGAAGGGAAGTGGGAGGCAATGTGTTTGATATATTAATCTTTTGTTCATCTTTATACTCAATGTTTTCTGGTTTGTTGTTTCACTATAGGAAGTTGTTATGTATTTATTGATTCTTTGCTTATAACATTGTTGACTTGACAAAGTTAATACCTAGGCTTCTAGCTGTCCATTTTTCTTCCGGGAGCATTTCCAACCTTGCTGATGCCGCACTTATGATGCAATCGTGTAGTATGGAGTCTTTCTGGGTCAATATGTATTCAATTGCTTTGACCCTTGCAAGAAAATTAGAAATTGTGCATGCCCTGAAGAACTACAATAACCCACATGTTCTGGTCCAGGCTAAACCTTGTGAGAGCAAATTAAATCAACTAATGAGGGAGTGGGAAAAGCATGTCAAGAGCATGAAGAAAAACAGGGAATCCGAAATCCGAATAAGAAGAAGCTGCCAAAATGTGCACTAGTAGGTGAAGAAGATCAATTTGTATCTGGATAGTGGCTCCTGAGACCTGAATTGCCATTTTTGTTTTCTTCTTAAGCAAACAGTTTCTCCACTCAAGCAGGTGATGAAATGAATGAATATCCTCTTCAAAAAGGATAAACAGAGTAAAGTCTGTCTGCTTTTCATCTTTCAGTGTCCTCAACAAGTCATCAATTTCCAGAGTTCACTCTACCCCCGTGTGGCAGGTGGTTTCATTTGTGTTTAGGCTCAATTATTCTTATTTTGGCACCATTAAGAATGGAGAGACAATTTTGATGGATTCGGCGTAAGACTTAAGATGCATACAAAGAAGAAGAAATGTGATCAAACAAAGCCAAACAATATAATAGATAGATATAATAAATTAAATAATTGATTGAAATAAATACTAGTTGTGATATATGTTTATGTTGTTGCATTGTGTTTCTTTTTGTTTTCATTTGTGTTTAGGCTCAATTATTCTTATTTTGGCACCATTAAGAATGGAGAGACAATTTTGATGGATTCGGCATAAGACTTAAGATGCATACAAAGAAGAAGAGATGTGATCAAACAAAGCCAAACAATATAATAGATAGATATAATAAATTAAATAATTGATTGAAATATATACTAGTTGTGATATCTGTTTATGTTGTTGGTTGTTTCATGTTGTTGCATTGTGTTTCTTTTTGTTGTATCATGTTGCAATGTGTTGCTTATTGTTGTTTATTGTTGATTTTGTTTGTTGTTTAATATTTAGGTTTTTATTTATCTTGGCTACTTTCTGAAAAAAAAAAACTTATATAGATTTGTGTGCAAACACTTAAAATTATAAATTTAGATTTATGAATATACTAGTAAATTGCACGGGCGTTGCCCGAATGTAATATGTCCAACTCTCAACTTCAATGAATTGCTTAAAATGTGATCAACATAAGTGTCCATGAAAATGTTAATTTTATGAGCTATATACCTTATCATGTATTAAGTTAACAAATAATGAGATGTAGTTGAGTTGAATGGTGTTACTATAAACAAAGATAAAGTAAATAAAACAATATCAATATTATTAGTGTGACCGTATATATTTAATTTAAATAAACAAATATAACGGGAGTTTAGGAGCCATATATAGTATATCTGATAAAATATCATGGCAATTTTGAAAAGGAAAAGTAAAAGTTAATATACAGTATCCTTCAAAAACACATTAAAAAAGTACAATTAAAAAGTGAAGCAAAAAGTGTAATTAAAATGCAGTAAAAATGCAGAACTTGAAAGCAAGTGTAATGATATAACCTAGAGAAGTTAATTTAGTCTCTGTTTCATATGAACTTGCGGGGATTGTTTAATCATAACCCAAGTCTTGACGAATATAAAATATACAAGGACAAGGAAGAAAAATGCAGGGGAAAAAGCAGCAAAAGACGCAGGAAAAAATCACAATCCAAGTGTTAATATATATGAAATATGTTGGGAGGAATGTGGGGGGAATGCAGAAAAACGCAGCAATAGTGCAGTAATAACGCGGGAAAAATGCACAAATAACGCGGCTAAAAGTGCAGTAAAAATGCACAAAAACGCAGAAAAAAACTCAAGTCAATAAGGCCTACCCTTCCCATCATTCCTCTTCTTAAATCTGTATATGGTATCCGGAAGTGACACACCACTTCGCAAAAATTGTTGTTCAAGTCTTAAAAGTTTTCCATTTTCTGTTGCATCGCCAGGATCAAAGACAACACATATATGGTGAGCACTAGAGTGAAACTGTGTAGCAGATTCACATTTACCACCGCTAACTTGAAATAAGTTTATGTCCTCTGCACTAACTTTGGTCTACCAAAGTCTAAGACTATTTGTGTTCTTTGTTTTATAGCCAAGAATTGGAACATCATATGCAACCGCATGTATGACCTCCTCACCAATCCCTTTCCGGGAGCTATTGGGGTCAACATGATCATCATAAAATAATCTGACTGGAAACACAATGTCATACCTTGCAACTTCCCAGGGACTGAATTTCTCAAGCCAAGCTTCAGTAACTTCCTCTTGTCGAGCTTCCGTAATCCGTTGCTTCTGTAGTCCATACTTGTACCTCAGTCCATAACCCCATGATGGCGAATCTAGGATTGCCATGGAATCAAGAAAGCATGAAGCAAGCCTTCCCGACCCGCAACTTCCTAGTACTACATCTCTCTCCTGCTCAACAATCTCCTCAGGTTCGTGTGCAGATGCTGATGCAGAATCTGATGACGCGGCTGCCGATGAGTGCCTTTCTGCTGTCGGCGGCATAGAAGTCTTAATGAGTGCAGTGAACACAGCCAAGGAAGTTGTGATCGCTACCAGTTGAACTCCTCGCGCGTCCAGCATTGCTCCCCGCACGTCCAGTTTCTGGTTCAACAAAACATGTTCGGCCTCCATCTTTGACAAATGTTAAGTGATTGGTTTCATCATTCCGGCGGGACGGGATTCGGCAGGTCGGACCAATTGTTGTGAACCGAAAAAATAAAAAATAAAAAAATCAACGGGGTAAATCATTGCCCAGATAATCAACGATAAAAACACCATTGCGCAGAGCCAAAAGGCTAAAACCAATTTTATTCCAAGATAAGCAAGAATGAATCCTAACAAGGGGTTTAAATACTCATCTACTAATTCTTAAACTAGGAAACAAAATCCTAGAAATCCTAATCAACACCAACTAGGAAACAGAATAATAAAGATCCTAATCAACTTCAAATAGGAAACAAATAATAGAAATGCTAATTAACTCCTAATAGGAAACAAATAATAGAAATCCTAATTAACTCGAAATAGGAAATAAATCAGGAAAATTAAAAATAATAAATATTAATTAAGCAGCCCGCAATTAGCCCACGAATGTGGGCTCAAGCCCGTTCCCGCCTGCAGTAAACCGGTAGCCCCTTGGGTCTCAGATCCTCCTTTTCCACATAGCCCCCCTGCTCTTCCTGCTCTCTATCAGTGATATAAGTGATTGACGGTGTGTAAATGAACTTAACACGGTCAACTATGAATCGGATGGAGAACTCTAAAATTTTGAACAGAAGTTGTATGAGATACACCAACAGCACATGGTACAATACCTTATAGCGTAACTTGTAGAACTAATGAGCATTTAATAAGAAAAAGTGGCCTTTATTAAGATAGGTTAAGATAAAAAAAAAATAGAAACAAAAATAAACAATAAAAATGAAATATTTAGAATTATCAACAAAAAGAAACAAAAAATCAAATAATAGCTTGAACTATATATTTGTTGTGATACTCTTATAGGTTATTTTTGGATTCAAGCTGCGTGACATCCAAAAATAGGAATGTTGGCAAAGTTAGTGAGACATCCAAAAAAGGAAAGTTGGACTCGGGTCCGGGCCGGATCCGGGTAGCCACCGCTTCCGGGCCGGGCCGGGTTTCCGATTTAGATTTTTTTTTTTTACTTTCCTAACCCCCCCCCCCCTCACCCCCCCCCCCCTCCCAAACCCATCCTACCCATCAAGCCCAACCCGGGTGGAACCCCAAAAATGAAAAAAAATAAATAAATAAAAAATCAATTTGGCCCGAGCCCGGGCCCGACCCGGCCGGTTCACCAAAATTGAGACCCGAGCCCGGACCCGCCCTACCCCCCGGGCCTAGGCCCGACCCGGACCCGGACCCGAGAACCGGGCCGGTCCCGGTCCCGCACAGTAGCGGGCTGGGCCGGTCCACGGGCCGGGTGGCCCGACCCGAGTCCAACCCTACTCGTATGTAATTAAAATGCGTGATCGGAGTATTACATAGTCTAGTGTTTAGGCATAACTGCGTAAGTCTATTATTGAAAAATAATCTTCATCTTGTCTTATTTTGAAAAAGCTTTAAAAAAATGAAAAACCCGATTTTATTTTCAGTTCTAGCCCATTTGTGAAAAATTCCCTTCAAACTATCATTATTCGACCACTGAGTCATTTTTCTAACTCCGATCCACCACTTTATGCCAATATCCGCAATAGATAAGAGATTTAATAAAAATGGAGGATTGAATCAAATGTAACAAAGAAAGATGAGATCCGATCATCTTATGATTGGAAAACAAAGCACATGTAACACTCGAACTTGCAATCAACGACTCACCAACCCTTGAGGACACAAAGTCCACAGATCTTATCATGCCCGCCACCAATAATATCCATAAACACACATAAATTACAAAACCAAACAAAAGCAAGCTCGGCTCTGGGATTTTGGCCATGTTCTTATCTAGATTTTTTGTTATCCAAACGTAGAGTTTTACCATCACCATTAATTTACAGTGGTAAAAGAATTCCATTTCATGGTAAAGAAGAATGAATGAAAGTCTCGGTTGTTTAGTTTAATTGATACCTAAATTGGAAACTTTTTGGGGGAAAAGATTAGATTTTGAAAAATATATGATGAGATCGGTCATGCTTTAGTTTTTTTTAAATATTACTAGTATTTATTATAGGATACATAATTCTTTGGATTTTGTCAAAGATTATAGAAATCTTTCGTGACCCATTAGGATCCACATCGATATTGAATAGCTTTATAAGTAGCATATAAATACGAAAATTGTGATAAAAAGTTAGAAATATTTGGGTTTTTCCATCATTGGAAATAAGGAACACTTCACAAATTTCCCTTCCTTCTTCACGCCTTGCATCATTAAAAGGCCCACTAAACCCCACCCTCTTCCACCCATGGCAACTAGAGATAAAAAGTACAGCTAAAAAGAACTCCTTTACATGATTTTCTTGCACAATTTCGAAAGCTGGCATTCATAAAGTTTTCTGGACTCTGTATACGTTAGTGCATGCGTTTTGGTCTAATTCTCAAATCTTGTGGACCCCATAACTCCCAATGGGCCCCACTTCTTAACAGATTCTTATGAGGTTTACTAGTCTGGTGAGAAACTAATGCTTGGCACCTAACTTTGGCTTTTTAAGACCTCAACAAACAGAGACTACAGTTTACTAAAAAAATGACTAAATTGGATAAATCTGATAAGTTCAAAGGTAGAAGAGTAAGAAGTTGTTCTACTCCATATTTGTTTTATCTGAATGTTTCTCGTTTGATCTTTCCGATCTAGATCGTTTTTATTTGAATTATTTGATCCGATCTGAATCTTTTCGGTCCGAAAAATAATTACAGAATCCGCTACCAAAAGGGAATATTAAAGCTTTAAGGCCTTTAAAGAGCTACAAATTAAAATTCCTCTTTTGGAAGTGAAGACCCTGCTAAACAGTGCTAACACTGAATTTCTATATTAGTAGAAACCAATGTGTGGTGCAAACAAGTACACATAATAGATTTTTTTATGTCACCTTATGCCCATTTGCAGTGTTTTAAGAATATGGAAAATTACCCACAGGGTACTACTTTACAGTAAACAACAAAAGACCAAAAGTGATATGAATAATAAACAAATCATTTTGATTTTCTTCAATCAAAATACCCATATAGACTGTTCTTTGCCTCATCTTGACAACTTTTCTGCTTTCCACAGAGTCAAGACTCCATTTCCTCAGTTATCAATTAAGAAAATAATTAACAAAGTTTGACTCCCTCAAAGATGATAATGTAGTCATTAGCGAAATCATCAAACTTAAACGAATATTCAGTTTGTTAAATCACCAAACCAGTTCAAAGTTTCCCTGTAATAATAATAATAATAATATCATAACATTCTTGGCTCAGTAAATCCAATTCTCACATACATGTGGTGTTTACATGTGATTAAGATTATAATAATACATTCACTTGAAATTGGCCTAAAAATTAAGTAAACAACAAAAAAGGTCGTTCAAGAATTAGAATTTGCAGAACCTGAAACTCTAGGGGAGGTCACCGGAAAGAGAGGCAGCAGTCGGGGCTCCATATCCCTCGGAGTAGTCGCCGGCGACGGATGAAAATAAAACCCTTTTCTCGCTATTGCCTTCTCTTCCGCTTCCATGTTCAGATTCTCAGGACTCACCGTGTTTTGCGGGGACCTGTTAAACGGGTCGGGTATCAGAGGCGTCACCGGGCTCAGGACAAGCGACGGAAAATCAAGCATGCTCGGCGACAGTAGCTCGGAAGTCCCGAATCTGGGAGAGCCCGATAGCCCTGCTCCAAACCCGGATTTGGCTGCGAACCCCGGGGCTAACGGGTTGATTTTGAAGCTCTTAAGGCTGTTTCTCCGCTCATAAAGCTTGGAACCGGATTTTTCCTTCTTAGGTCCGGTTTTGACGACCGGGATTGGGTTACGGGTAGGTTCGGGCCTGGCTGAACCCGCGACTTTACCCGTTTCGGAGTGTCCGGTGAGCATTTGGACCACTTGCTTGAAGGAGGATGTGTCAGCCTGGACGAAGGTAGTCGGGTACAGGTTACTGGGTTCGGATCTGGTAATGGGCGGAACCGGCGGCGGCGACGGAAGTGGCTGGCCGCCGCCATTGCCGCTGATGGAGCTGCTGGAACTGGGGGGAGACATTAGAGATGGGTTTTCGTTTCCTTGACTTTTTCTCGAGTTCTCCATTAACGGGAGTATCTGTAGTGAGAGAAAGAGAAAGAGTTTGTTAGAGGGAGAAGAAGAGATTTGAAGAAAAAATGCACTTTCTCTTCAGTTTGGTGAGAAATGTTCTTTTGTTGGAGACTTTTGGTCTTGCGGGGTGAGACGTTTCACGCCATTTCATGCGCGTGAGGAACAATGTGGCGGAGGAGACGGCGAGGAACGGTGGTGGCACGCGGCGGTGGGTATTAAATGGGATTGGAGATGATTTTAGAAAGTCCAACTGGTAGGAAGTGGATTGGAATAATCAGCAGGAAGAAAATGTCAAACAAGTTTCAATGCAAGAGATTGACTTGAAAGGCTCCCTTGTTGAAAATGAAAGCTAATTGCGGCCACGTTTCAAAAATTATTGATTGCCCCACCCACAGAGACTCTATTTTCTATGGTTATTTAATTTTTTTAGAATGGCTTTCGTGCATAATTTTTTTATTAGAATATTAACTTCGAAAATGTTCTTTTTAGAATCGATTGTTTGTTAGATTAATGCATTTTTCTAGCTAAATTTAATTAAATTTTAATAATTTCAAGCGCTTTTGAAATCCATAGCTTGTTATTACTGTAGCATTTATTAACTGTAAAATTGTCAAGTTTTTTGTGACATAAATGGTAGAATGCTAATATACTTGACATAAATATATGTTTTACATAATCTATTTTTAAAAATAATTACCACATCATTGTCACGTTAAATTTCAAATTATTGCAAAGCTCAAATAAAGTAACTCTAACAATTAATTCTTGATAGATTCTATGTACTCATAAGGTACCATACCTTTGTCCACATGGACCAATGAGAATGTAGCAGTTGAATTATTTAAATCTAAATTAAAAATGATAAAGTGATGTTGTCTAATCAAATGAATGATAGGTACGGTATCCCATTTTTTAGAAAAAGTACCGGAGTTATCACCTTAATTCTTTTAACAATTAGGGATTTATCGATATCCTGCAACCGGCGCACCATGAGGATGGTGCGCCCGGTTGCAAAACGACTTAACAATGAGAACGGTTGACTCATTTCATTATTATTATTTTACTTTTGTTGTTAAAAAATGGTAATAATTTTTTTATTTTTGATCCGATTTTTATAAAATTTATATCAACATTTTTTATTTTTCACGATCTTTCAAATGAGACCAATATTGCTTATGTAATTTTAACAAGCTGTGAAACTATTATATAAATGATTATTGGATTATAAGGAAAATCGAACTAAATTTAATACAAAAAAATAATTGTGTAAATCACAATTTATCTTAAAATTGTGTATATAAAAAATCATTGAGTTACATGTGAGTTACATATTTTTATATGTAAAGTTACATATTTTTACACGTAAGTTACATATTTCTACACGCGAGTTACATATATATACACACGAGTTGCATTTGACCTGCCTGAACGCGAATTACATATATTTACACGTAAAATTACATATATATGCAATTTACATTTGTATCAACATCAAGTCACATTTTGATTAAGAAAATGAGATGTAAAAAATAACAAAGGGTGCATGGTGCTCACCATGCACCGGTTCCACGGTATAACTACTGGGGATTTACATCTTGAAATTAGATCTAAAAACGTCCAAATAGTCTCTCTCCTCGATAATATTTAATCAAATATTGAAAACGCTAATGTGGTGTTTGGAAAAGAAAAAAATGACACATATATTACTAAATAAAATTTTCCCATCCAAAAAATTGATTACTTATATTTTTTGACAAAAATATGACTAATCATTATGTACGAGTAATCGGATAAGACTCATTAATCCATTATGGTGTAATTGAGAGTGACAAGTCAGTGATGGATGATGGGTCACTATGAATTGAGTTAGTCATTAAATATGTCAATTTCTTGAAAAATGTAAAATAAGTCGTATTTTTTTCTTTGGAATTTAATTTAGTACTCCCTCCGTCCCGTTATTTAAATAAAGTACTTCAAGTATATTTTGAAAAATAATTTTAATAGGTATATATTATAATGTAGTTAGTATTGATAACTGTGATGTTATAAATGTATTGTTTTTAGTATTTAATGATTAATTTTCACTTAATATTGTTAATTGTTTCCTAAAATGGAAATGAAGACCTTCTAACGGGACGTCCAAAAAAGGAAAGTGAGAATCTTCTAATGGGACGGAGGGAGTAATATTAATGGGAAAAGACCTTTGGAAAATAGTGTTTCAACCAAAAAATGTGGTTCGATTCCTTTTAACATTTTCAATAAATGAAAGGGGTAATTTGAGTTTGCATCCCATTTGATTGTCCAAATTGGACTTTGCATTCCATTTTTAAAAATCTTTGTTTTTGCACCTCAACCTCGTATAGAAAGACAAAAATGTCACTTGATTATGAATATGTTGAAGGTCAACAGAATTCTTAATGGAGTGTCATTTTTGTATTTTCATATGGGGTTGGGGTGCAAAAACAAAGATTTTAAAAAACAGAGGGCAAAGTCCAATTTGGACAATAAAATGGGGTGAAAACTCAAATTATACATATATTCAAATGTTATTTGGTAAATAATTGTTTGAGCTTTAGTGTTTGGATGAAACCGTTAATATGAAAACACTGCAAATAAGAGATGTTAGCGTTTTGAAATATGACATTTTCTACTAATTGTTATGGCCAAATATTTAAATTATCCCACATGTTCTCACGACCATCAACTTATTCCGCTACACAAACTAAAGTTGTCTTTGGGATGCCACAATTACGCCTTTGATCAATACGGAGTAGTAGTACGTATTATTTGAAAATAGATCATTGGTTTGATATACGGAGTATATAGTACTCCCTCTCGTCCCTATTAAAGTTCTCGCTTTCCTTTTTGCGATGTCCTTTATTAAGTTCACACTTCCATTGTAGGAAATAAAACAGTGCAAAACAGTGTCAAACAGTGTCCAAACAGTGCCAAACAATGCACTCCACAATAAAGTCAAATTTGTTTTCTTAATCTGTGTGAAGTCAAACTGGGAACTTTAATAGGGACGGAGGAGTATACCAATTAAAGTTTGTCAACATCATCCCGATAGAAGATAAGGGAATCTACCATAGTTTAAATTTCAAACTTCACGATTGAAAATATAATCAATAGGTTCGTGTGGAAATTAAATTATGTAGGTCTATACAAGTTTTATGTCAATTTAATATAGCACATGTATCTTTATTTCAATATTTTATAGTTCGAATCCATTGAAGTATTAAACTATGTATATATGGACTCTTTATAAACACGTGTGAAGTTTTCAAAATTCTGGTGAAGCTTCAATGCATCTGACGTAGTTAAAAGGGCACCTAGGCTCCTACAATGTTACTCCGTAATTATTTCAAAAGTCTAAGATAACTGTTGACTAATCGTAGCATGTGCACATTGCACACGTGCCATGAGAGAGATATGTACATGTTTTTTTCATTGTTTTCACGGTCTTATATGTTTTTGAAAAAAATTTCTCTATAAACATTGTGCTTGACATTGTGGAAAAAAAACTTACAAAAAGCATATAAAAATGTTCAAATAAGGAAAGATATTATATTTGTTGGTTTTTACTTTCTCCGTCCCGGAATTATCTTCGTACTTTCCTTTTCGTTATGTCTCAAATTTATCTCTTTTTTCCCTTTTTAGCAAAGAATTTGTGGTTCACAATCACTCTTACACATTCTTACACATTTTTCTTTCCTCTGCATAACTCTCCACCACACATTTCTCATTATCTTAATATGTGTGCCAATTGTACTTGTGAAGATAAATATGGGACGGAGGGAATAATTGACTATCTCTCATGCCGCGTATGTACCGTTCACATTTTTGCATTGAAAATGCTCTAAAAATCATTTTTATTCAATAGTGTGAGATTCCAAACAAGAAGCTAACCCATAGGAAACGATATACAATTACTTAAATAGTTATTAACTCATGATAGCTCGAGCTAAAATAATATCATTCGAGAAAAACTATTAAATTCGTCTTATTGATCATTTGAATTCAAGATCTCCATAAGGGAATACTTTTAAGTATAGAATATAATCTGATTAAATTATTTCATTTCAAGTAAAAATAATGATATTGTACTGCAAGTGAACACAATATGTGCTAAGTGAAAATTTCTTATATAGGACTAAAACATAAACAAAGTGTACACAAATGTCATTATTCTCTTTCTAAAATGGGACTTATTCGCTCTTTATATGGAAGTTCTACACTTTATAGAATCAAAAAAGACTTATTTTGATATTAAAATACATATAGTTGTATTTGTGAATTTTGTCTATATTTACTAATACCTAGTTTTAGCTTTTTTTAATTAGTGGTACTGCAAATTAGCTCTGTCAATTTTGTACACGAACAAATTTTGAAATAATCAACCATGTGTAACAGATGTGTATGAAAAGATTTTATTGATAAGTTCTGAAATTATCTCCGATCGATACAAGCTAAAAATATGTCTAACGGTGGATGGAGTCATGTTACTCATGTACACTCCCACGAGAAGCTCTTAGAACATCTACAAGACTAATAAGAGGACGTGGTCTACACAGATCAACCCTAATTTTTATTTTACATTTTTTGTAAAACTTAAATGTTTCTCAATATATTTTACACTACTGTTTTAAAACATATTTAACTATTTTTTTATCTACGTACATTTTCTAAAACAAAATCGATCATGTTGAAAAAAAGGTGTGTCACATCTACGTTTAATTGAATTTTTATTCACATTTCGAGTACAAAATTACTCATCCAGCTCGATGAAGGTCATACATGGCAAAAAAATGCAATGTATAAAGGGCTAAGGGGCATCACAAAATTAATTTCTCAATCAACCGAAAGACAAAATCTTCAAAACATACAAAGGATCAAGAGTTCTTATCAACAAAAGCACAAGTTCAAAAATATATGATCTTTCTGCACAAAAAGAGCTAGTGGTTTTAAGTAATGATATGAAGGGCCTAAAGACTTGGAACCGTAAAATCGGGAATACCGAACCTAACTTTCCGGTTCGGTTCCTATAATTTTGGACTTCATTTTTTCGCTTCGGTTCCTATAGTATTTGATGTGTTCGGTTCTAGTTCGATTCCAGTTCGGCTCCGCTTTCTAGGCAGGAATCGAACTTCTTATACATTGCATGAGTAATCTTCATTTGAGGTGCTTCTAGGTGGATTATTTGATGAAATTATGAGCCTTTTTCTCATGAAATATAAATTTTGTCCACCAAATTTGAGCTTAAAATTCAATCGGCAAGTCGGATAAATAAATTATCGAAAAAAGCTACGTCAAAATATATATAAAAA